CTCCCTGTATGTACACCTCCCGCACCCCGTACACCCGTCTCCCTGTATGTACTCCTCCCGCACCCCGTACACCCGTCTCCTTGTATACACACCTCCCGCATCCTGTGCGCCCTGCTCCCTGAGGATACACGAAGTCATTTCACCCTGCATCTACCAAGATATAAGGGTTATAGTCAAAAATTATCAGCCTGAATTTCTCAAAATGAGAGTGACGTTTTGCTGACCTTATTAAAATGTTTGAAGATGAACAAAACATGTAGGTGATGCCAATGCAGTGAATGTTGTTTTCATTGATTTTCTGAAGGTCTTCGATTTACTACTGAACCCTCATGATGACATGGTCATGTGAACACAAGATGACTTGAAAGACACCTACAAAACAGAGAGTACAGGAGTTAACAGTCGTTCCTAAGACTGGTGTGAAGTGGTTTCTTGTGGTGTTCCCTGCAGCATTGTCTATCGAGAGCATCACTAGGATCATTGCTGGGATCAACAAGGCCATATGGCTAGGGTGAGGGAGTCTATACCTGCAGTGAGACCAAGTTAAAGTGAGTAACTGAGAATTTGGGTCAAAGTAGGATTTTGGCACAGAATGGGAAAGAAATGCTTTAATTAAGGTTCACTCAGATAAATAACATCTCCAGAGAGAGAGGAAACAAGGTACAGATCGAGAGGAATATGTGTCCTGATACCAACGGCAGCCTGACTTCATGAGTGCAGGGAAAGCAGCTGATTGCTGAGTAGTCTCAGTCAGTATTTCCAATTAAAAGTTGGGTTTATAGTTTGCATTTAAGTCTCTAGAATTTTTTTCTTTCTTCCAGAGAAATAGCTTGGTAAATTTTCATTGTAGGTCCATACTTATTCCAAGGGTAACAAAAAAAAATTTGATTTGCAGGTTGGTGGGTCAGAAGGCCAAATGATGTGTACACCTGCAGTATGTGTCAAGTCATGGGACTGTGCTATAGACCTTCAAACAGTCAGAGGGAAATTGAGGAACAAATATGTAGAAGGATCTCACATACATTCATTTTGGAAGGACAAACTTGAAAGCAGAATACAGGGTTAACGGAAAGATTCTTGGCAGTGTGGAGGTGCAGAGGGATCTTGGGGTTCATGTCCACAGTTCCCTGAAAGCTACCACCCAGGTGGATAGAGTGTTAAGAAGGCGTATGGTGTGTTAGCTTTCATTAATAGAGGGATCGAGTTCAAGAGCTGTGAAGTTATCCTCCAGGTATACAAAGGCCTGGTTCGGCCACATCTGGAGTATTGTGTCCAGTTCTGGTCACCTCATTACAGGACAGATCTGGAGGCGTTGGAAAAGGTGCAGAGGAGATTTACCATGATGTTGCCTGGAATGGAGGGAAGGCCTTTCGAGGAAAGGTTGAGAGAGCTAGAGCTTTTCTCTTTAGAACGATGAAGGACGAGAGGTGACTTGATAGAGGTGTACAAAATGATCAGAGGTATAGATCAGAGGTATAGACAGCCAGAGACTTTTTCCTAGGGTGGAGGTAGCTATTACAGGGGGCATAGTTTTAAAGTGAAAGGAGGTAGATATCAGGGAGATGTCAGAGGTAGGCTCTTTACTCAGAGTGGTAGGGGCGTGGAATGCATTGCCGGAGAGGGTAGTGGAGTCGGCCTCATTAGGGGCATTTAAGCGGCTATTAGATAGGCATATGGATGATAGTATAAGGTAGGGGTGGAGGTTAGATAGACCTTAGGCTTAGGGTAAGAGTTCGGCACAATATCGTGGGCCGAAGGGCCTGTACTGTGCTGTACTGTTCTATGTTCTATACATGTAAGTATAGAAAGGTTGCAATAGTAGGTGATATTAATTTTCCAAACATTGACTGGGACTACCATAGTGTTAAAGATTTCAATGGTGAAGAATTTGTTAAATGTGTTCAAGAAGATTTTCTCTATCAATATGTCAATGTTCCTACTGGAGAAGGAGCAAAACGTGGCCTTCTCTTGAGTAATAAGACAGGGCAAGTGACTAGAGTGATAATAGGGGAACACATGGGTCTAGTGATCATAATTCTATTTGTTTTAAAACAGTTATGGAAAAGGATAAGCCATCCATAAGAATCAAAGTTTTCAATTGGAGTAAGGTAAATTTTAATGATACGAAACAAAAATAGATTGGAGTAGACTTCACATGAAAAGGGACGTCTGACAAATTGTGATAATGAGAGTTTAGAGTCATAATGTTCCTGTTAGAGTGAAAGGCAATGCTGGAAGGATTAGAGAACAATGAATAAATAAAGATATTGAGGTTCTAGTCAAGAATAAAAATGATTCATACGTTAAATATAAATCTAATGGGTTCAAATGAATCTCTTGGACAATATAAAGAGTGCAGGGAGAATCTTTAGAGGCAGATCAGGAAGGTAGTGAGAGGTTATGAGAGAGCCTTGGAAAATAAGGGTAAGGATAATCCAAAAAGATTTTACAAGTAAATTAAGAGCAAGAGAGCAACTATAGGCTCCCTTAAAGATCAAAAAAGACATCTTTGTGTTGAATGTTTTGTCAGTTTTTACTGTAGAGAAAGAAATGGAGGCTAGAGAATGCAGGGAAATATTGATGTTTGGAAAACAGTTCGCATTATAGAAGAGGAAGTGCTATAGGTCTTAGAAAACATAAAGGTGGATAAATCTCTGAGACCTGATCCAATGTATCCCAGGATGTTGTGGGAGGGAATTGCGTATAACCTTGCAGAAATATTTATATCATTTATAAATACAGGTGAGGTGCCACAGGACTGGAAAGTGGCTAATGTTGTGCCTTTGTTTAAGAAGGGATGTAAGGAGAAGCCTGAGAACTATAGACCTGTGAGTCTGACTTTGGTGGTGAGTAAGTTGTTGGAAGTGATTCTGAAAGATGTGCGTTTAGAGAGGCAAGGGCTGATTAGGGATAGTCAGCATGGTTTTCTGCAAGAGAGATCGTGTCTCACAAGCTTGATTGATCTTTTTGAGGAAGTAACCAAAAAGATTGATGAGAGGGAGCAATAGACATTATTTACTTAGACTTTAGTAAAGCCTTTGACAACATTCCGCATGGTAGACTAATTAGTAAAGTTAGATCACATGGGATTCAGGGTGAACTTGGTAATTGGATACAAAATTGGCTGACGGCTAGAGATGGAGAGCAATGGTAGAGGGTTGTTTTTCGGACTGGAGGCCTGTGACCAGCCGTGTTCCACAGGGATCGGTGCTGGGTCCACTTTTGTTTGTCATTTAAATAAATGATTTAGATGAGGATAATGAAAGCATGGTTAGTAAGTTTGCAGATGGCACCAAGATTGGTGGTATAGTGTACAGTGAAAAAGGTTATCTAAGATTACAAAGAGATCTTAATCGATTATGTCAATGGGCTGAAGAGAAGCAGATGGAGTTTAATTTGGTTAAATGCAAGGTATTGCATTTTGGTAAAACAAACAAGGACAGGACTTATACAATTAAAGGTAGGGCCTTGGCTAGTGTCATAGAACAGGGAGACCGAGAGGTTCAGGCACATAATTCTTTGAAGTTTGCATCACATTTAGATAGGTTGGTTAAGAAGGTGTTTAGCATGCTTGCCTTCATTGTTCAGATCTTTGAGCACAGGAGTTGGGACATTATGTTGAGATTGTTCAAGACATTGGTGAGGCCTTTTCTGGAGTACAGTGTCCAGCCTGGTCTCACTGTTGTAGAAAGGATATTATTAAGTTGGAGAGGCTTCAGAAGAGATTTACTAGGATGTTGCTGGGAATGGAAGGTTTGGGTTGTAAAGAGAGGCTGGATAGACTGGGACTTTTCTCACTGGAGCATAACGAGGTTGAGAGGTGACCTTATAGAGGTCTATAAAATCATGAAGGATATAGATAAGGTGAATGGCAGGTGCCCTTTCCCTAGGATGGGTGATTTCAAGACTAGGGGACATATTTTTTAAGGTGGCAGGAGAAAGATTTTAAAAAGACATGAGAGCAATTGTTTTGCACAAAGAGTTGTTCATGTATGGAATGAACCTCCAGAGGAATGGTGGATGCGGGTACAGTTACAATGTTTAAAAGACATTTAGATAAGTACACAAATAAGAAATGTTTGAAGGATATGGGCCAAGTACTGGCAGGTGGGACTAGTTTAGTTTGGGATTATGGTCAGCATGGACTGGTTGGACCAAAGGGTCTGTTTCCATGCTGTATGACTCTAGATAGATAATTTCTCCTAATGTCTTTTAAATTTCCTACCCCTTATCCTAAAACTATGACCTCTCATTCTAGATTGCCCCATATGAGGAAACATTCTCTCCATATCTATTTTGTCAATCCCTTTAGCATTTTGTATAGCTCCATTAGATCACCTCTCATTCTGTTAAACTCCGGTGAGTATAGACCTAAACTGCTGAATGTTTCTTCATAAGACAAACCCCTAATCTCTGGAATCAATCCAGTGTACTTCCACTGAACCGCCTCCAATACAACTTCATCCCTCAAATTTTGGGGACCAAAATTGTAAGCAATACTCCAGGTGTGGTGTCATTAATGCTTTTTACAGTTGCAGCAACACTTCCCAACTTTTACACTCTATTCTGTCAGCATTAAATGC